GTTATATGGGGAAACCCTGAAAGTGAAGTGACAAATGAGAGCGCAGGAGGCACTTGTCTTGGACCACTTCCTGATTCTCAGATGTCCCACTTCCAATTCATGGGGTGGTCCTTCCACTTAGGGAACAAATAAGGCCAACCACTGTCAATCAACCATCCTATAGCAAATGATTTAACTTCTTTAATTTTCATTTTTTTGTAATTCCATTAAATGTATTTAGAATATATCTGTCCTCTACTTTTAGTCCTCTGCTCACCCCACACCTCCTTGTAAGTTCCCCTCTTAACCCCAAGCATTCTTCCTCTTTATTTTATAATCCACTGGGCCCACTCAGTGCTTCCCTTATTGGCATATTTATAGGGTACCATTCACTAAGTAGAGGCAACCTACCTAGGGCCACACAGTTGAAGAAAACAACTCTCCCTCTTCCAGTTACTGCCATCTGCCTATGGCTCCTAAGCTAAGGGTGAGATCTAATGATCCCCTTGCCACTCCATTCCAGAGTGCTGACTGGCTTGACTTTCAGCATGTCTTGTGCACGCAACCACAGCTATTGTAGTTCATGAGTGCTGACCATAGCCTCCACCAGCAACTGGCCATACTGGCATTCTGATAAGCCAATTTCATCACTGTGAGAACATTGCTTTAGATTACATACCATCTAGTCTGTGTCCCTTTGCTATAATAACGTTAACATATTCAGACAATAGTATTCCATCACATGAATGTACTATTTAATCAATTCCTTTGTGATGGAACTTGAGATTTTCTCTGGCTCTTTGCTATTGTAAATAATGTTCTAACAAGTAACTTTTATACACATCATTTCATGTTTTGCCAGTCTATCTCTAGGGAAAAATGTAGAAGAGAAATTGCTAAACCAAATGGCAAATATATTAGTAGTTTTAAAAATATGGACAAATTCTAGGGTTTATATAATTATTTCATGTTTTAAGTTTTAGAGTCAAGTATGGATATATCATTTTCATTTACTTTTTACTTCTAGGAAAGTGTTTTGGATGTACAAATTAAATACATTGTCCTATATATTATGTACCAACTCATGGATCAAGTTCTCTGAATTTCACATTACTAAGATGCTTGTCCTTTCAAAGGACATTGTATTTCTTGTCTTAGTTACCATTCTTTTGCCATGACAAAACACTATGGCCAAGGCAACTTACAAAGAAAGCATTTAATCCAAGGTCTCAAAGTTTCTGAGAGTTAGAGTCGATGACTGTTTTGGATGGGAGGATGGCAGCAGGCATCGTGGCATGGTGCTGGAGCATTAACTGAGAGCTTATAACTGATCCACAAGCATGGGGCAGAGAGAGCTAACTAGAAATGGCACGGGCTTTGAAATCTCAAAACCCACACTCAGTGTCACACAAATCTATCCAACTTCCAACAAAGTGACACCTCCTAACCTTTCCCAAATAATTTTGTACTCTGGCGACTAAGCATTGCAATATATGAGTGTATGGGGACCACTGTCACTCTAAGCACCATATTCCCTCAAATGAATACTGCCCAGGAAGAAACACTCCAGACATTACCTTTTATTTAGGAAGAAAAATGGAATCAAAGAGGTTGAGGTCAGATGCCTGTCACCTATCAGTTTGCTAAAACTGAGTCAGGCACTTGTGCATTGTTTAACCACACTTAGGATCGAATCGGTATTCCCTGGAAGCACCACACCATGGCTACTGTCACAAAAGGCACTTGATTAGAATGAGGTGGCAGAAGAAGGAGACTACATTCAGAAGCAGTTATGTTCTACATATATCTGCTGTTTACAGTGGCTTGTGGAGAAATGTTTATTTTTTATGAGGGCATGTGCCAAAGCTCTCACTGGGTAGAGATAACTAAAAGCAATCATCACTCCATCACCCTCTCATGCCTTCATCTTCAGAAACTTTTTCTTTCTTCAAAACTAGAAGCAAGAGCTTCTGTTGGCATTAGTCAGGTTAGTCTGTGGGAATTGAATTTGCAAACACACACACACACACACACACACACACACACCATTCAATTAATAAACAAATCAATTAATATACCCTTGTAGCCATTGCTGATGGAAAGAACTTCCCGGGGTATGGGTTGGAGACTGGAGGCTTGAATTAATAGTCAGAGATGAGGCAAAGAATGCCTAGCAAGAGGGAGTTAAGAAGGAACTAAGGGGCTGAGTGGGAAAACCTGTCTGAAATGATTTAAATTAGTGAGACTTTTTCATAAAGTAAAACACCAACCATCAGTTTAACTAACTTCTGGATTCTTTTATGTCTTGATGGAATTAGCCTTTGAGATCCATCAACTCCTCAGAAAGGTGACATCCTGGCAACTACAAGCCAGAGACTACCTAGAGGTTCCTGTCCCCAAGATAGCCCATAGCATGCTTTAGAACTTCTGTAAGGAGATCTTGCCCCTTCCCCTTCTCCTGGGTCCATGAATTCTTCTCTTAGAGTTCTTTTTGTTTCCTAGTTCCTTTGGCAATGAGGATTGTAGGCTGGTAATCCTTTGCTCTATGTCTAAAATTCATATATGAGTGAGTACATACCATGTTTGTCTTTTTGTGACTGGGTTATCTCACTCAGAATGGTTTCTTCTAGTTCCATCCATTTGCCTGCGAATTTCCTTAGCTAATTGGGAGCATGAGGGGGAGAATGATAGAGAGCTGGGAGAATGATAGGGGGAGACCAGGAGGGGAGAGGAGAAAATGGAGGAGCAGGAAGGTTGAGTTGGGGGAAGAATAGAGGAGAGCAG